TCCAACACGCCGTGTTTAGACACCAACACGCTGTTTTGACCTTAATGAGAACCACAATTTTCCTCAACTAGACACGCCGTGTTGGTTCCTCCAACAAGCCGTGTTCAATCCTCAAAATAGGATTCATTCCTTACAATTGCTCCTCAAGATTCCGGGTGTTACAAATAGCAAAAAAAACTCCAAATTATAAATATAGTCATTAAAATCGCAGATGGATTAAGCCCATCTGCAATTTTAACATTCCATCTGTGAACATACAAGTCGCTAAAGCACAGTTGTGCTTTAGCGACTTGTACGTTCGCAGATGGACTAGTCCATCTGCGATTTTACAACCCATCTGGGATTTTGCCTTTTTCCAGGTATAAAAACGTAATTTTTTTTACTTCATTTTTCACAGTTTTTCTTTGAAGAATTATCTCTCTGGAAGCACTATGGACGATTTCATGAATAATCCCGACAATAAGTTTTAACAATAACCTATGTAATTTTAGAAAACTTGATTAATTTTGTCATGATTTTATTTATAAAAGTTTTTGACATTAAAATCATATACAACAATGACGACTCTTTACTAATATAATATAATACTTTTAGAATGAAGATAAATTTTTCATAAATTATAACTTTTTTATTTTCTATAATTTACATATGAGTCGGCATATCCAATAATGCAAAAGGGTTGTACATATGGAAATTGCTAGGAGTCTGAATGTGAATACAACTGCCACTCGTATAACAGATTACATTTTGTAATAACTAGTGGTTATTATTTTAATAACTTGATAATTTAAATATTAAATTTTGTACATATTGTCGGGATTGTTCATAAAATCGTCCATAGTGCTTCGTCCATAGTGCTTCCAGAGAGAAATCTTCAAAGAAAAAAATGTGAAAATGAAGCAAAAAAACTACGTTTTTATACCTGGAAAAAGGCAAAATCGCAGATGGATTGTAAAATCGGAGATGGAATGTTAAAATCGCAGATGAGCTTAATCCATTTGCAATTTTCATGGCTATTTTTGTAATTTAGGTTTTTTTTTTTGCTATTTTCCACAAAATAATTAAGGGATTAGGCTATATTTGTAATTTTTATTCGGTTTTTCTTTTGGACTGTTTGGTTTTTATTTTATAAACCAAAACCAATCCAAAAACTAAAATAATAATTTGGTTTTACTAAAACCAATCAAAAATCCAAATATCTAACTAAATAGTCCAATCAAAATTGTCCAATTTGATAATTTGGTTTTATCCAAATTGTAAATAGCACACCCGAAAAATTTGATAATTCGGTTTTATCCAAATTGTAAATAGCCCACCCGAAAAATTTGATAATTCGGTTTTATCCAAATTGTAAACAGCCCACCCGAAAACAAAAGGACAATTTTCTGTAAGTAATGTCTCACAAGTAGGCATGCACAAACCGGTTTTTTTTCTGAACCGGACCGGTTCAAAAAACCGGTTCGGTTCTAGTCAAACAAGTCAAAACCGGTTCACCCGGAAACCGGTTCAGTTCCAAACCGGTCCACCACAAAAAAAAGCCGAACATATGTAAACCGGTTCGGTTTTATCGAAACCGATTCAGAAAAAACCGGTTTAATAGTATACATACTTTTTGATGTTTATTATTTTTTTGGTTTTAAATTTATGTTTGTGTACATGAACAAAAACATAATGTATGCACAAAATTGTTCAACTTGAATCAACACATTTTTTTGGAGCAATTTTCAACCTTTTTTTCATTTTTTTTTGTTTTTTATATTGGAAATACATAATACAACTTCAAACATAAAAAACACAAAACATCCAAATTGTCAAACTAATACATCTTCAAATATAAAACATTGTCATCGTCGTAATCTTCATTCCAAGTCCGTAGTCATTGTATTTATTCGTCATCCGCCATGTCGTTGCGTAATCCTCTCTCATACTCGAGCTCTTCTAGGGTGAGTGGCACCGACATTCCCATCGCTTACTCGTGCTTCGACATGCAACGATGTGCCTTCTAGTACTTCAACGTCTTGTATCCGTTCCACGCCATCAAGGTAGCATTTCAAGCAAATGCACACTTCCACCGACAAAGGGGTGAGTTTTGTTCTTCTTGGTGATATAACCCTGCCACTAAAAGAAAAAGTCGATTCTGAAGCTACCGTAGAAGCTTGGGAGCTTAGTAGATCACGGGTCATAGCGGCTAGAATCGGAAATTGGGTTTCCTTTCCTTTCCACCAAGCCAAAATATCAAAATTTTCAAACTCTTGAATACTCATTTGAGACAAGAAATCAGAACCAATGTACCTTCCGAGCTCGCTACTAGGGGTGTTAGACCGAGCTCGTTTGGAATTTTCATTCCTCAAAGTATTATAAAGCCTAATTGTTTCGTTATTTTGGTGAGAAGTGGATCCGGATGCCCCCGTATTTTGCATCATGTCATGAATGTTTGTTGAACCATATTTTGTTAAATAAACTTCAAACAAATTTTGAAAAACTTTGTTAAATTTTGAAACTTCCTTTGATGCATAATCAATGTCATCATCCAATAAACCCAAATCTTAACAAATATTTTCAATTAAAGTCTCAACCCCCCCCCCCAACATTTAGAGCCGGATTCAAAGCGGCGGAACAAGTAATAATGGGAGGCATTTCTTGAAAATATTTTTTTAACTTTGCTTTCATCGGTTTCATCATATTAGCAAACATTGTGCTCCTCATTTCAAACTCATTTATTTTCGCACACATTAAAAAAATTTGGTTTAAAACTAAACAACTTGTAGGATAATAAACCCCCGATAAAAAAGTAGTTGTGTTTTTAAAAACATCAAGCATGTCCGTAACAAGTTTGATAGTATCCCAACTTGATTCCGGATAACCCGTAACCTTATTACGGTCCGCAAGGTTGTCATGGAACATTTTTAAAGTATCTTTTTGACGTAAGGCACATTCAAACATTTTGCAAGTGGAGTTCCATCGGGTATTATTTTCCCAATTCGGACCTAAAAAGAGGGCATTCGCATCGACACAAAATTGCATATAATTATGATATCGAGCGTTACTAGAACTAAAAATATCTTTTAGCATGTCTTTGAAACCATCTTTTATAGTTTCAATGCTAGTTAGTCCATCTTGCACAACCAAATTAATGATATGTGCAACACATCGACTATGAATAAAACACCATCGCAAATTGGTTTATATTTTAGTTCAACCGCGACGGTGTTGTTTGAAGCATTATCAAAAGATATAGAAAAAATCTTTCCTTCAAGTTTATAAGTTTTGATCACACAATCTAAAATTTTAAATAAATTTCTACCGGTGTGCGGGTACTCAAACAATTCAAACGTAATCGTACGCTTCATCATTACCCAATTAGTTGGATTAATCCAATGAGCGGTAACACAAAGGTACGCATCCGGTGAACCGTGAGGAGCCGTCCAAACATCACAAGTTAAATTCACACCGGTTTCTAAAGATTGAAATCATAAAATCATTTCATTTTTTGCAAGTTTCCACATTTCAATACAATCACGTCTAATAGAAGGACGACTCACATGGCAATATCGTGGTTGGAGAGTATCCTGGATGAGTGAAGTCAATCGTTTGTTGTCGAAGTGGTCAAAAGGCAAGCATTCTTGAATCACGAACTTCGCCATCCTATCCCGAACTTTAGCCATATCGTAACTCCACAATGTTGCATCATTCGCCATTGTTGTTTGATTATGTCCCGGCCCAAATTTCACCGCGGGGCATCTTTTGGTCATATGAGTTTTCAATGTCGAATTCTCATCTTCATTAAAAAAAGCACCACATTTCTTGCATCGCGCTTTTTTTATACCGTTCGACATTACACACAAATCATAGTTGCACCAAATAGCCGGATTTCTATTTGTTTCTTTGATGCTAACAACGGTAAGATTGGTTGATGAATCTCCAACACCAACGGAAGCCGAATCCATTGTTTGAATTAACAACGTTTTTTGAACTAAGAGAGATTTTTTTAAGGTTTGGTTAAGGTAAAGTTGAGACCTAAACATCTAATACATATATATACTATAAGGAATGGTTAATATGGTCAAAAAGGAGCCAAAATCGGGTCTTCAACAGCCTCAAACGGCTATATAACCGTTAGGAAAAGACAAAAAAACGGTAATACTCGAAAACCGGTTCACCAACGGCTATATTCGCAAACCGGTTCAAAACCGGTTCAACAAACCGGTTCAGCAAAAACCGGTTCCAAACCGGTCTCAAGGGTAGAAAGTGCGAATTGGTCCAATCCGGTGGTTCGGTTCAGCATCGATTCGGTTCTTACGTGAACCGGTTCAGGGCCAAACCGGTTTTCGGTTCAGCGACCGGTTCGGTTCCTGAACCGGTTTTTTTGCACACGCCTACTCACAAGTATGTCATTTGGTGTGAAAGTCAAGAGTCGTGACACATAAGCAGCCATAAATCACGCATCCTTCTCAGTACCATGATGTCGTAACTCTCATCATCTTGTACATTCTTGCTTTTTATTTACTAATGTCTATAAAAGTAAAGTTCAGGGGCAATTTAATACATTTACACTCACCAAATATCGTCATATCGAAATTCAATAATACCATGAGGCAAGAGTTGGTTAAGCAGTATACGGAACTAAATCTAGTTTCCAAGGCTGATTCCTCTTTCAAATTTTTTTTAGTAATTTCATAGTTTCACACCAAACATGGTCAATTGATCATGCTCAGAAATTAAATATCATTAGGTGAGCAATTTATGTGTATTTAATATCCTAATAATAGTACATTGAACCATAACTACGAAAAAATAAAAATAAAGAATATTATCAAACACATAAGAATATTATTATTATTATTTAACCACTAAACATGAACACTGCATATGGCAGATGTTCTGATTTATTGCGACACAAACATACATTCACACTACAAACAACATCATTCTGGGAAAAACATAACTTATATAGATTATTATTATTATTATTGCGCCTGGCTCTATTTCACCACTAAGGACTAAGAAGCCTTCTTTACTTTGTGTGGGGGTGTTGCTGGTGGTAACTTAAATTTTCCAAAACCAACCCTCCCTTTCTTCACAGAAGCCTTTATAATCTGAAACGAACAAGTTAACTTTTCATCGACATTCATCATCGCACCATCGTTATCAAACTCGTTACAGTAATTTGGTGCGGAAAACAAGGTTACTAGCTGCCTGTTCGCAAAAAACTCATACCCATCTTCAACAACCTGAAAATCATTAACAAAATAAGTAAATATGTCCCAGTTTGTCACAGGTCTGTCAAAAGAAGTTGTACTGTATTTGATGTCCAATTGACTTGGACAGTATTTGATGTCCAATTGACTTGGACAGGACGGGTGCCAAAAAAGTGAAATTTTCCCGTCCATTGGGGGCATGCCGTCCCAATGGACGTCAAATACAGTACAACTTGTCTGTGTGTTATTGTACCTGGTGAGCACGACAAACAAGGTCGAGATCATGCTTGTGGAGAAATTCTGTAAGTTTATCAGCACCAAAAGTATACGACACGCCCCTTTCATTCGGCCCCCATCCTTTCACATCTTTATCAGGATCAGCCCACAGTAAATCACATAGCAGCCCTTGTTCCGGGACATCAGTGGGGCGAGGTATGCCCCGAATCTGATCCAAATTCTTCAGCTCCGGAGACAATCCTCCATGCATGCAAAGTATCTTTTCTTCAACAACCGCAGCAACAGGTAGACACTTGAAGCACTCAGAAAACATCTTCCAAACACGGACGTTGAGTCTTCTCTTGCATTCATCATAGAAACCATATATACGATTGATGGAAGCACATTCATGGTTTCCCCGGAGAAGAAAGACGTTGTCCTTGTATTTTATCTTGTATGCAAGCAGAAGGCAGATTGTTTCAAGGCTATGCTTACCACGATCAACATAGTCACCCAGAAATAAGTAATTTGAGTTGGGTGGGTGCCCTCCATGGTCAAACAACTGGAGAAGATCAGCATATTGTCCATGGACGTCACCTGAAAAAAGCAATTGGTCAAAAAAGCTACTCATATTTGACAATTTAGTTAAAAATCAATGTTCAATACTGATAGTAATCAATTTGGTTACCACAGATCTTAATCGGGGCTTTAAGTTCGAGCAAATTAGGCTGGCTAAGGAAAACCTCTCTCGAAGCCAAACAAAGCTTACGAATCTCCGATTCCGAGAACGGAAACAGCTTCGGAACGGATCCAACTCTAGCAGCTAACAGCTTCTTGATAAACTTCTCGAGGACCGCTTCCTCCATTTCCGCTCTTTCTCTCACTCTCTCTTTCTCACAGATGAAAGTGAGTATTAGAGTATGATTCATTGTATGTGTAGATATAGATAAACCTAGGGGCTAGGGCACCGATTGAATTAGCTGTTTTTCCGGTCGTCAGTACAAAGATGACGATAGCTATGTCTTTTTTTTTTTTTTTTTTTTTTTTTTTTTTCTTTTCTCTCACACATCAAGTTCAAAACCTAACTCTCTAATTACTAAACGCGTGTATGTATGGCGTACTCCACCGAATGATTACTTGAACCGAAGAGCACTTAAGAACAGTCGGTGCCTTTAGCTGTTTTCCGGTAGCAGGCGGTGAACGACGGTGACGGTATAATTTTGTTTCTCTCTCTTCGTTTGTAAGACAAGTGGAGGACACACGTGCAAAGACATCATTTACACGGCACGACATCTATCGATCAAAAGCCACGATATCCATTACCGGAGAGGAGTGAAGTGAATCGCCGGAAGATGACGTTTCTGGTTTTGAATTTACATACGTTCTAAAAATAGAGAGCCCTCAAAAACCCAACTATCAAAGAAGGGCGTTTTAGTCAATTTTACTTTAGATAACATTTCTAATAAGTAATTTTCTTGAATCATTTGGCTGTTAATCAAACTTTTTTAGAGTTTTTATATGAATTCATGTGATCTATAAATCAACCAATCATAAAAATGTAATTAATCATCTTGAAGTGAGGTTTTTATGGGTATATTCAATAAGAGATTGTAAATGATTTTAAACTGGCGTTGACTAAAAAAACACCCCATTTTATATTTATACACCTTATATAATTTTTAAGTTATTTTTATTGGCTGAAGTTGTATTGTTTTCTTAAAAAGATAATTTTAAGTAGTTATCTATAGGTTGACTTTTAATAAAGGTTTATATGGGATGTCTTAATAGCAGCACCCTTTTAAATTACATACTAAGAATAAAGGGAACTATTGTTATGATAAGAGATGCATTCAATGGCAATGTAGATAAACTCTATAACAACACAAGCATTCAATGGCAATCTAGAGTAGAAAGTGAGCAGTATCGTTGGCAATACTTAATGAAAATGTCATATGATTTTTTTTCCACACAATTCAATGTACAATTGACTTTTAAATACCTTATATGCTTATTTTGGTAGTGTTAGTTTGTTCCCACCTTCCAAATTGTTAGAAAATATATTAAATACTTAATCTCTCACGAATGATATTTGGTCTAAGTGTTATCCGGAGTTTGGAGTTGTTTAGTTGTCTTTCGACCAATAGGTTGAGGTTTCAAGTCTTTATTAGGACAACTCTGCAATTTAGTAGTGGATTGACGGGTGTATGAGTTGATCGTTAAAAAAAAACAATCTTTCATTCATTCATACATTTATGTTGTAGCACATATCAAAAGACCCTTGTTGAAACTTTCATTTTGAATCATATTCAATTTGTCATGACTTCATCATTAAAGAAAACAAATCTATCATTCAATCATACATTTACGTTGTAGTGCATATAATCTAAAGATCACTACATACTTGTTGAAACTTTCATTTTGAATCACACAGTCTCTTGTTTAATTATACTTTTAAGTTGTAGGATATATAATCTTAGCATATATAACCTAAGGATCGGTAGACATAGATGTATTATAGTCATAACTTAAATTATTGATTTTTCATTTATGTCATTTGAAGTTGGGACAAAAATGGTTTATGTTTTTTTAAGCTATATCTATTTTTTGTTTTGTAAAATTTATGAACTTATGTTGGCAAATTTATAATTTGGAGTTTCTTTCTACATAAAGTGTTAAATTTGTAACCATACAAAATTCTCGAATTACGGATCAAGATCTCAGTGCCAACTAGAGATAATGATATGTATAAATTTATATTTTCCCCATCGGATGTGAATAAGAGAGGGGATTTAGGAAATATATGATACACCTATAACCTAATATATTTAGGGTTGGATTTTTATTGGACAGATGACGTGATAGAAACTTTTTAGATTAATGAATAACAGTTTTAGTTGTCAGACCATACGTTATCAAATGATTTGTGTTTTTTACGTCATTTGTCGGTCAAAAGTGCTTAATTGTCGGATAGTCGATGCTTAATTGTCGGATAGTCGTCACCAAGCATCGTCGCAACATACATACGTAAACACATGAAAGCATGTAGTACCCTACTCACGAATCTAACATTTGTATGCAAAAAAAGCGGGATAATATATTTTGTTAAGAAACTCAAAATAACTGAAAGTTTTATGGTTAGTATTCCGCGCATCATTTCTATTTAGCAATTATCCAACTAGGTTATTTTCAATAAAAAATAATCATATTACACAACTCTTAATTTCAAAAACGTTTGGGGACAAATATCATCTAATCCCACATGAACAATCAGGCCCGACTCAAACTGATTTGATGCCCCCGACAAAATAAAAAAATGAGGCCTTTTTTTTGCCTCTACCTCCGACGACTTAATACCAAAAGCTTTTTTATTTCTAAAATAATATAAGTAGATACATAAAATAAGACCTAAAAATTTGGAAAATTTAGAGGCCCTAGGTCATTGTTCATGCTCTCCTACCCTCTAATACGACTCTGTGAACAATATACTCATCACTTAGTCATGTAAATTAACCATTAACAGATGGAAAATGTGTCTAAACATTATTTTACTATCTTGCCTATTTAATATTCTAAATTAAAAATAAGTATGTTTAAGTTCATCTCTTCAATATTTGATTATCTATATGAACACGTGGTAAGTATTAATGTTGACCAACATGTGAGATTAGAACCATTCATCCAAAAATTATCAACCATTAAGATAGATATTGATGAGAAGTCAGAATAATCCTAAAAGGGCAAGATTATTAGTTGTGATCTAACTTCTATAAAATGGATGGTAATCAAAATATAAGTCTCTTGTGCTCTCTCACTCGCAAATATAATCAAACAAACTGGTTTTCTTTCCTTGGTATTTATTTATTTATTTGTAACATGGAATTAGATTTTGATATCGAGTTCGACTAATTTGAGAGGTTATATTAAGGTGGGATTTCCCAATAGCATCAACCTTCAAAGGAAATATTTTGTTTTAGGCCTAGTTCCATATGAAACTTTAAGTCTGTTTCTCCATGTAAAAATACTTTTTTCTAATTGAGAAATTAAATATCCTCTTACCTTTTGTTTCTACTTTTCTTTGTACATATTTAAGATGATGACAAGTGTATAAATTTAATATCTCAATCAAATTAAATTAAATTAAATGACACTTGTCACCATCTAAAATAGGTAGGAAGATAGTAGGTACAAAAAATAGGAAGATATTTAATTTCTCTTTGTAATTATAGAACCCAAAACAAAGACTAATAAGACGAACTCGTTATACTAATATGACTTTATGGTAAATTATGGAAACAATTAAAAAGAAAAAGGAAACATAAACATGGTCCTAATAAAAGTTGCCCATTTTGGATAGAGCAACTGTAAGGTTGCGTTTAGTTATGGAAAAATAGGTTGTTTGTAACACCCGGAATCTAGAAGATTAATTGTGGAAATAAATCCATTTCCTAGGGACCAACACGACGAGTTGATGGTGGGAAACTCGACGTGTTGGAGGCTTTTGGGACGCGCGTTTTTATGGACCAACTCGGCGAGTTGGTGAAGGGAACTCGGCGAGTTGGACGCTGATTGAGAAACTCTAATTTTTAGGGTGTTGCGCCCTATTTAAAGGCCTTGAGTTCTTTGGCTGGCCTCCTTACCAGCCTCCTCTGTCCAGAAACCCTAAAAGCGTGTACCATCTTCTTTTGTGAGTGTGTATGAACTTATGGAGGGTCTTGAGTGTTGATCTTTTATGCTCTTTTGGTGAAGCTTTGAAGTTGAAGGTGCATAGATTGGAGGGAAGACTTAGATCCAGAATCTCCCCACTCATTGCAGTCTTTCGGAGTTCGGGGATCAGTCAGCCTGCAGCTAGGAGTTTTCTGTAAGATTCAACAGTGTGAGGTGAGTCTTCTCAATATATCAATGGGTCGAAGGCACCAATGTCAGCCCATTATGTGTTATGTGGTATGCTAGTTGTTTTTATGATATGTGGTATGCTAGTTGTCTCTGTGATCTTGGCATGGAAGACCCCGGGGAGCCCATGGCAATTGGATATCAGACTATGGGGGAGCCCATGGCATTCCAAGTAAAGACCATGGGGGGTGCCCATGACATATCAGATAAAGACCATGGGGGGAGCCCATGGCAACTATATATGTAGGTTGCATGATAATTTGTGGTTGTATATTGTGTGGTATTTTGAGGAACTCACTAAGCTTTGTGCTTACGGTTTTCAGTTTATGTTTCAGGTACTTCAGTTTTCTAAGGAAAGAGCTCGGGACGATTGCAGGGCACACACCACATGTTTTCGCATTTTGTAAATAACTCTGATTGATGATGTTTTTGCTAACTCTTGGTTACCTTGGTTTCATGGGAAAGAATGTATTAACGATTTATAAATCTAAAAACAAAAATTTTATGTCATGATTTTCGGGATGTTACACCATTTTAGGAAATATTTTTCCAAGAAAAATGAGAATTTTAAAAACACGTTTAGTTCAACAATTTTTCTAAACTTTTCACTGGAAATAACAAATTTTAATTTTTCAAAATTACAAATAACTTGAAATTTTTTAGAAAACTAATAATTATTTTTTTGCACATTTTTCTAATTCCAAAACTTTTCTAAAATACAAACACACACCCACTCTCATGTCACCCTTCCGCAATTCCACCCCCACCCTTACTCCTACCCATCCACCCACTCCCAGGCCCCAACACCCTCACCCCCATCCCCACAAACACAAACACAAACACATACACATACCACTACCACCACCACTACTACTACAATCATCATCACCACCACCACAACCCCATCACCGCCACTACCACCGACACCACCACCGTCGTCATCACCACCAGCACCACCATTGTCATCACCACTACC